ATAATATCAGACTTGGATCTGAATCCAGAAAGACTTGAGTGGGTGGAGAGAGAGAGAAGGGTGAATAGACAGCCAGCCAGACAGACACTCCTGGGTAAGCAAGGCAGTATTACCCTGTTTTACAAATAAGGAAACTAAGGCTCAATAAAGTATGTGTCTTGCCCCCTGTCCCACAGCTAATAATTGGCAGGGCTGAGATTCAAACCCAGGTCAGTCTGCCTTGAAGTCCCCTGCTCTGGAAGCACCATCTGATAAAAACAGACAGTTCCCGGAGGATACTGATTCTGCTGGTCTGGAGACCACAGTTTGGGAACCGCTATTTACAAAGGTCAACAGCCGACAATAAATAGCCCAAGAGTGGAGACAGGTGTAGAGATTTCACAAGCCAGCCTTACAGAGAAGTTATATACAGTACAGTCAAGATTTCCAGAACAAAAGCAATGTTGCTGTGTCATCAAAAAGAACGGGAGGTAAAGGTTGCACTGACCACAAGACTCCCTGCCACAATATTTACCTAGAAATCTATAAGCTGGCCACAAAGCTACAAGGGAATGTCTGCTCTGTGATAAAAACAAAGTCTGTTAGGGATATGTAACTGAGTGAAGCTGTCTGAAGCGGGATCTGAGAGTTTATTCTAGATTTCAGCTTTATGCCACTTAGCCTTTTGGTCTTACTCAGAACCACTAGTTACCATGCAGGCGGTGCTGGATAGAAGCAAGCGTTATTGGTTTGGGAGCCAATCTAAAGTCTGACTCTCTCATTTACTAGCTGGGTGACCTCTGGTAAGTTAACACTTCAGGTCTCAGTTTTCCCATCTACAAAATGAACACTGAGGATATGAATTATTCTTTCTTCACAAAAATGAAAGAGGTAAGGCACAAAAAAGCCTTTGAATAGTGTCTTGCATGTCCTAAGTACCCAGTAACGGTCAACTACTATTATTTTCCCACTGCTGAGTCAGGTCATGAGATACAGGAGAAGCTTTCCTGATTCTCTTGCTGATCATTTGTACCCAAATCTCATCCTGGTGCCTGCAGATAGATGTGGTCAACGGGGTTACTGGGCATCTACAGTGTGCTGGGCTAGCAGATACCACCTCCATTAGATATGAGCCTTCCTGCACATGGGAAAGGAGCCTTTGTAAAAAAAAAAATCTCTTATTTAAATTTTCCTTTTGCTAACCCTAAATGACCCTGTATATTCCAAAGAGGACTATAAACCCGACACGTGCCTTTTTTCATTTAGCTCCTGTGGCAATCCTGGGAAGTCTCTGTGGTTGTTCCTATTTTGAACACTGCAAACTGGAGCTTACGAGGTAAAGTGACAATGAATTGAAAAGCCAGAATTTGAGCTCAGATATGCTTGAGACCAAAGCCAATACTACCTTCAAATTTGTAAAACATGGGAGGATATACATAATCCTTTTTTGAAGGAGATGGTTTGATACCCAAATGCTCATTTATGCATATCATATTTCATTTTGCATGTCTTCCCCTTAGAGGAACCTATGGGATAACAAAAATACCACACTACCCAGATCAAGTGTAGAACACCTAAACATTGCGGAGTTTGGGCAACTGGAAGTATTATCACACGGCTATTTACTAATCGTATCTGTTCAGAATAGAATAGAATAGAATGTCCAAAAATGGGGGGTGGGGCAGAACTACCTAGAATTTAGAAGAAAGGTCAGGGGTGCCTGGGTGGCTCAGTCGGTTAGGTGTCTGCCTTCAGCTCAGGTCATGATCCCCGGGTCCTGGGATCAAGCCCCACTTTGGGCTCCTTGCTCAGTGGGGAGTCTGCTTCTCCCTCTCCCTCTGCCCCCTGCTTCTGCACTCTCTCTCTCCCTCTCAAATAAATAAATAAATAAATAAATCCTAAAAAAAAAGAAGAAGAAAGGCCAGAAAGAGTTCCGTTGAACAGTGACAGATTTCGAGCCTGGAGAGTCCACTCTGGGGGGTGTTAGCATTTTGATTCTTACTCAGTAATTTCCAGAACATAGAATATCTGCTCAACTGCTCTGGACAGGGCCTAAGCACCCTTTCTTCTCTTACAGGAAAACATCACAGATTTCTATGAGCTATTAGTTGCCATCTTGTTCTGTCTCCTCTCCTCTACCTGCCCAGGCATCCTGGCCCCCACTTGCAGGTCTGGGACAGTCAGGGAACACTGTAGTGAGTCATCTTGCCCCAAGGCTCTTCCCCTATGGCATACCTTACTATTTAGGATCTGGAAAACCCTCTGCTGCGTTGTCTGGCCTGCCTTGGGCCTCACAAGGATGTAAATGACTTTCAGGTCAGGGCTGGTGCGAAACAGCTTCTCCATCAACACTTTGCCCATGAAGCCTGTGGCCCCAGTAATGAGGATGGACTTGCCACTATAGAAAGCTGCAATCATGGACATGATTCTTCTCTTTGTCTTTTAAAACTCCGGAAAGAGGTTCCTGAAAAGGAAGAGAAATAAGAAAACATGACATTCTCAGAAGTTCTGAAATGCAGTCAATTTAAAATGTTGCTGGTCCTTCCAGGAGTTTTGAATGCAGAAAAAGGTTAGAGTGAGAGCATCATACTTTATTGACAACACGATTCATTTCAATCAATATTTATTGAGCCTACTTTGCCTGCCAGACTTTATGCCAGGAATTGTGGGCAGAAAAAAAAAAATGAGTAAGACATGGTTTGCTCTCAAGAGATTGCTCATAGTCTAACGGAGGAGACAGACATCTAAATAGACAGACATCTGAATATAATATGTAAGTGCTAAAGCAAAGGGATTACAGAGGTGGGTGTATAGCAGGATCTGGAAATTTCATGCTTTCCATGGATTGTTTTGAACCCGGGCTTAGAGGCAGACACTTCACATGGCATGTCAAATAGCACATGGTGCCTTTTCTGGGAGGCCCAGGACCTAAGGGCTGCATCTGGCTTGCCACTCCCAGATCTGCTCTTTCTCTCTGCTCCTGGCAACGGTCTTAAATGGACGGAGCCCCTATAATCACCCAGTGCTATTTCAGAGCTTAACAAAGCCTCTGCTCCTGGCCTTGCTTGTTCAACCTTCTCTGCCCTTTGCAGTGTTTCAGCATGGAAAGCAGCAGTGGAGAGCTTTGAATGAATGAAACAGTGCTGCGGCCTGGTTGTGGACTTCCTGTCTGTCCCATCAGGTCCCCCCCGAGATCTGCTGGATGGCGGTGGGTGGATCATGCAGAACACAACTCCAGGGACTGGCCCTGACATCAGAGCTCATGAAGAAGAAGAAAAAAACAAGTAGAAAAATCAGCACCCTGCCTTGTCACCTCCAGTCAAGGTTACCCTGCCAGTAACTCCTTAAGGAACTCCTTAACTCCTCATAGTCATAATTTACAGATTGTAATGATGGTCATAATTTATACTGTAAGGATCTTGAGGCTGTTCTTGGGCAGAACTCTTTGCCTTTGGAGGATTCATTCACTCATAAATTTACTCAACAAATAATTTTGAGTACCTGCCCTGCCAGACTCTGCCCTAAGTTCTGAAGATAAGCAGATGAATGAGGCAAACAGATCCTCGTGCTCCCTTGAGCAGAAGAGTCCAGCAATACAAAGATTGGTAAATATGTAAACATGATAATGACAGACTGTTACAGATGCAAATAAAATAAGGATCAATGACAGAAATCACATCCAATCATTGACCCTATTCACCTTAGGAAATCTGGATTTCAAATCATGTTAGTTATATCCACTGAGTTACTATTTAATCCCTTTTATTGGGGCGCCTGGGTGGCTTAGTCAGTTTGCGTCTGGCTCTTGGTTTCAGCTCGGGTCATGATCTTAAGGTTGTGAAATGGAGCCCCATGTCGGACTCCATGCTTAGCAGAGAGTCTGCTTGAAGATTCGCTCCCTCTGTCCCTCCCCCTGCTCGTGTGCTCTCTCTTTCTCTCTCTCTAAAATAAATAAATCTTTTAAAAAAATAAACCCCTTTTATTTAGGGTTTATGTGAAAAATATTATTTTGAAGAACACATTTGGGGGCGCCTGGGTGGCTCACTTGGTTAAGCCACTGCCTCCGGCTCAGGTCATGATCCTGGAGTCCCAGGATCGAGTCCCGCATCGGGCTCCCTGCTCGGCGGGGAGTCTGCTTCTCCCTCTGACCCTCCCCCCCCATGTGCTTTCTCTCTCTCATTCAATAAATAAATGAAATCTTAAAAAAAAAAAAAAAGAACACATTTGGATCTTGTACAAAACAGCAATTAATCATAGTTTTTTTTTTTAACCATGTTGCAAAATGTCACTCATATTGCAATCTATCCAATCATTTTCTCAAGATTTTATCACTTGGGAAAAGTACTGAAGAGTCTTGCCTTGCCTGCCTGGAAGCTCAGAAAAGTGTGGAAGGCAGTATGACATCCTAGCTGAGCTCACAGGTTCTGAGCAAGACTATCTGAAATCAAATTCCAGTTCTGCCACTTACTAGCACTGTGACCTCAGGCACATTATTACTCTCTCTGCGCTGTAGCTTGCTCATTAGTAAATGGGGATAACAAAAGTATCCATATAATAATGCTGTGGTAAGAATAATATGAATCAACATATTACTAAAACTCTTAGTAATCAAAACAGTATTCTACTGGAACAAAAAATAGACACATAGGTCAAGAGAGTAGAACAGAGAGCCCAGAAATAAACCATGCTTATGTGGCCAATTAATCTACAATAAAGGGGGCAAGAATATATAATGAGGAAAAGGTAGTCTATTAAGTGGTGCTGGGAAAACTGGACAGCTACATGCAAAAGAAAGAAACTGGACCACTTTCTTACACCACACACAAAAATAAACTCAAAATGGATTCAAGACCTAAATGTGAGACCTGAAACCACTAACTCCTAGAAGAAAACACAGGTGATAATTTCTTTGCCATCAGCCACCGAAACATTTTTCTAGATGTATCTCCTCAGGCAAGGGAGACAAAAGCAAAAAATAAACTATTGGGACCACACCAAAATAAAAATCTTTTGCACAGCAAAGGAAACCATCAAAAGAAAACAAGGCAGCCTACTGAATGGGAGAAGATATTTGCAAATGATATATCCAATAAGAGATTAATATCCAAAATATATGGAGAACTCATACAAGTGAACGCCAAAAAAACCCAAATAATATGAATAAAAATGGGCCAAGGACCTGAGTAGACATTTTCCCAAAGAAGACATACAAACGTCTAACAGACAGATGAAAAGATGAGCAATATCACTCATCATCAGGGAAATGCAAATCAAAACTACGAGTTATCACCTTAACACTTGTCAGATGGGTAGAATAAAAAAGACAAGAAATAACAAATGTTGGTGAGGATGTGGAGAAAATGGAACTCTTGTACACCGTTGGTGGGAATGCAATTTGGTACTGCTCCTGTGGAAAACAGTATAAAGATTTCTCAAAAAATTAAAAATAGTATTACCATATGAGCCAGTAATTCCACTACTATTTACCCAAAGAAAACAAAAACACTACTTTGAAAAGATACATGCACCCCTATGTTTGTTGAAACGTTATTTATAATAGCCAAGATATGGAAGTAACCTACGTGTCTGTCAATAAGTGGATGGATAAAGAAGATGTGGCATATGTAATATTACTCAGCTATAACAAAGAATGAAATCTTGCCATTTGCAACAATATGGATGGACCAAAAGGTATAATGCTAAGTGAAATAAGTCAGACAGAGAAAGACAAATACCATATGATTTCACTCACATATGGAATTTAAGAAACAAAGCAAACAAACAAACAAAAGAGACAAAAAGCCAGACTCTTAAATACAGAGAACAAACTGATGGTTACCAGAGGGCGGGTGGGTGGGGGCATGGGTGAAATAGATAAAAAGGATTGAGGGTACACTTATCATGTTGAGCAGTGAGCAATGTAAGAATTGCATCTGAAACTAATATAACACTGTATGTTAATTACTTATCAATAAAAAAAGAAAACTCTTAGAAATATTAGTTACCTATAATATATACTCAATAAGTATTAGCTATTAATATAGTCACTGGTTATACATTTTTCCTCTTAATAGTTCCTGGTTTTTCCTTTTGACATTTATTTTAAGTGCTCTGTCTTGTGCATTTTATACAGCCTCTTTTGGAAATAGGAGGTGATTTGTAACTCAATCAGTCATCAAGCCAAGTAAACTGCTTTCCCCAAATGCAACTCTACTTGATGATAAACCTTGCCAGTTCCTGTTTTAGCACGATACTCCTTTAGTATATTAGGTATAAATAAGCATGGGTGGCAGGAAAATACAGAAGAGAAACTGAGTTTGGATAGGGTTATTTCCCAACCTCACTTGTTCTGAAGATGTCAGATGCTGGTTTTGCACTCTTATAGGCTTTAGTGGAGTCTATTTTATAGAAATATGAACATACTGTTAAGATATTTTGATCCCAGACAGAGTTTTGTAATCTGTGATAAAAAATTTTAAGAAGCAGGTAATGTATTTCTTTTTTTTTTTTTTAAAGTTTTTATTTATTTATTTGACAGAGAGAGACACACAGTGAGAGACGGAACACAAGCAGGGGGAGTGGGAGAGGGAGAAGCAGGCTTCCCGCGGAGCAGGGAGCCCGAGGCGGGGCTCGATCCCAGGACCCTGGGATCATGACCCGAGCAGAAGGCAGACGCTTAACAGCTGAGCCACCCAGGTGCCCCACAGCTAATGTATTTCTAATGAGCCCATTTCTTATGGGACAAAGGAAGACTTGATGTGTCTGCAAAGAATTGAATTTGCCTGCTCTGTCTGGGGTCCAAATACTTGTCAAGCACAACCAAAACCATGGCAGAGTACACTGAGTTCTCTGACAGGAAACAAAATAAACCAGTATTTTGTGGCACTCATTACCTGATTGTCGGGAACAGGCAGCAGAGGAGAGTGGCCAAGACTCTAAACAAGGCAAGTGGTTCTGAAAACTGTCAGAGAATTCCTCATCCTCAGATCAAAGTTGTATCAGAGATGTTTCTTCTACTTCTTGCCTCCACTCTAAATATATGGCTTAGTTCCTGGTCCCAGAAACTCCTATATAAAATGTGGCTCCCGGGGCGCCTGGGTGGCTCAGTCAGTTGAGTGTCTGCCTTTGGCTCAGGTCATGGTCCCGGGGTCCTGGGATCGAGCCCCGCAATGGGCTCCTTGCTCAGTGGGGGTCTGCTTCTCCCTCTCCCTCTGCTGCTCTATCAAATAAATAAATAAAATCTTAAAAAAAAATTTGGCTCCCTGAATTCTGTTCCATATATTAAATTACAAAGTCCATGAATTATTAACCTTGAATATAATTCATTAAAATACTTAAGCTAATTATTTTAAAAATTAAAATAAACTTACATTCAGTAATGGACGATAACACAACTCTAGAAGGAGTAATATGTTTAGGACCAGCTGACTGGTCATCTTCTGATTGCCAGTGCAGAGAGCAAAGGATAATTTGCTGTTTCTCATGCTTATGATATGGCTTGTGAGAAGCCTAAGCTGCTTTGACAAATACCAGAATCATCCTGTATAATGTAGGATATATTATGCTTGCATGAAAAAGGAGGGGGCCTCTGAAAGTCAGCCAGTGCATTTTTATTGAATGTCTACTATGTGCCAGATACTGTCTAGACCCTGGGAATAGTAGTGAATGGGCTGTAGGCAGCTTAGATTCTTCCTTTCTTTTCTGGAGCTTTTTTTTCCTCAAGATCATGTCTCACGGTCATGAGTAGAAATAGCTAGTTTTTACTCTTCTTTTGGTGGTAAAATGAGGCTGTTCTTGTTTCTGGAGAACAGATGTTAAAAATACTGAATCATGATTGTTGTGCCAAGTTATACATTTTTTGCAGGTTTCAGCATATGGAAATTATTCTTTGAGTGGTTCTTCTGGAGAATAAAAAATTAAGATTCAAATACTTAAGGGAGACAAGTTTATGGATATTTCTTGATAGTCCTTTAGAGAAAAACATTTTTAAAAGAAACAAGGTGCTTTGCCCCTCAGGAATCCTACTTAACCAAGGTACTGGGCGCTGTCCGGTACAATGTAAAGTGTTTAGCTGCACCCCTCGCCTCTACTCACTAGATGGTAATAACATCCCTCTTCCCCAGCCAGGCGTGACAATCCAAAATGTGTTTAGACTTTGCTAAATGTGCTCTTGGGAAAAATGGCCTCTTCTTCAGAGAATCACTGTTCTTGGACCTTCTTCAATACTCATTTTATAATATTTAGCACACCCCATTAAAAAGTCAAGATTCAAGGCTTAAATATCTGCTTGTGAGACTAAGTACAAATATGATCCACTGCACCCCTATTTTATCTATACTAAATCCTTCATAGCTACATACATTTACCCAAGCAAATTACATGCATGGGAAATCCTGATTGTACTCAATGTGGAGATGAAGGAAGACTTCTTCAGAGAAAGATGTCTCACTTTTTATTTAACGAAATTTCCTTTAGTCTCTGTGCTTTAAGTTAGACTATGAACCCCACCTTGCATACAGATTGAGCCTCTCACTTTCATCCATCGAAACCGATTACTGGCAAATTTAGGAAAGGATGGCAATCAGACCAGCATGAGACCAGCTGAGGAAAACCATTAGTATTGGTTGCTGTATATTAATAATTCTAAGGATAATTGAGCCAATACCATCTATATGTAATTCTGTGCCCTTTTTTTCGAAGATTCAAAGATGCTGTGTGTTAAGAGATAAGTCATGTTGGCAAATGGAACGTTGGTTGGCAATGGACACAGTAATATGGGCTGATCTACTGAAGAAAATTGATGCTATTTTGGAAAATGCAGCAAATGAAAGTTGTTCTGCTTCACCAAAATCGAACAGTTGAAATTCTTTCAATAAGTGTGCTGAATTAGCTGCATAAATGCATTTACAAAAATATTATTCAATGAATAAAAGGAAACCACAAACTTGTGAAAACATAATGTCCATTACAAATCCCTATGGGAAAGACTGGGGAAGGGCTATGAAATAAATGACAGTAGCTGTATAACTGTGTGATAGGATTCAAGGAAAAGAGCCTCATTTCATGGCTATAATTTCTTTCCATGACTTAAAAGGTAATTTAATAATACATACTTTAAAAAAGAAGTTCTCAGAAAGTAATGGCAGCCAGTATTTTTATAGTCTCTTCTTTTGCTGTGGGCACTGAAAGTACAAAGACATTTGCAAAACAAACCTCCTTAGTTTAAAGTGTATTTAAATTATTTTTAAAAGAGCTGCTCAACTGACATTACACACTGATATGGACTGAATTATGTCCCCTCCAAATGCATATGTTGAAACCCTACCCCCTCAGCTGATGGTATTTGGATATAAGGCCTTGGGGTTACATGAGGTCATCAGGGTAGGGCCCTAATCTGGCAGGACTGGTGTCCAAACAAGGAGACACCAGAGAACAGGCTCTCTTCAAACAGGCACCAAGGAAAGGCTATGTGAGTTCATAGAGAGAAGGCAGTTGTCTACTATGCCAAGAAGAGTGCTCCCACCAGAAACTGAATTTGCTGGCACTTTAACCATGGACTTGGAGTCTCAAAAACTGTAAGAAATAAAGGTCCATTAAAGCCACCTGGTCTGTAGTATTTTATTATAGCAGCTTGAGTAGACTAAAGCACACACAAACACATATGACCAGAGACATGAACATTTCTGTTCGAGTAAAATAACTTGACAATAATTCCTAGCAACCTTCTTAATTTGGGAGTAAACCTGTGTCATTTTCCCATCTTTGCAGATAGAGGTAGGACATGGATTCTTGCTATTCATATGTTTGTGAAAATACGGACAGGCCTTTGACAATAAACTACAGAGACCACATTAATCCAAGTTTTAAAGAAAAATTTGTATATAAGTCACATATCTGTTTGTCAAGCACTTAGTGAAAAAAAGAAGTTTTCATCAGAGAGTTCTTTTTTTATTTAGCTTAAGTTTCCAAATTATACAATTCAGCAGTAAACTTAGATTCCTTTCCGTGTGGGTTTGTTACATAAAGTCTTTCTGTGAGAACTTTTAAGTTCTTGAGGGGGGAATATTGACCCTCAGGGGTATTGTAGGCAACTGTTGGGGGCACAGGCCGCACTAATCAGATCAGCGATGGCCACAGTCAAGAAGAACCAATTTGGAAAGAGTTCTGGGCAGGGGGAAGGACCGTCCAGGCTGGCTTTAGGAACACAGAATTTACTAATCACCTTAACACTCCTAATAACAGTCTTCCTAGTTTCCTTCTGCTTAGCTCATCAGTAAATTTTCAAAAAACCCTCCAAATTTAACAAAAATTAAAAAGGAGGGGCACCTGGGTGGCTCAGTCGCTTAAATGTCCAACTCTTGCTTTCGGCTCAGGTCATGATCTTAGGGTGGTGAGATCCAGCCCTGTGTTGGCTCTGTGCTCAGTGGGGAGTCTGTTTGAGATTCTCTCTCCCTCTGCCCCTGCCCCTGCTCGCACACACTCTCGCTCTCATATACATAAACAAATCTTAAAAAAAAAATGAAAAAGGAAAAGAAATGACCTAAACTCATCATTTCATCATAACTGATTTTTTTTTTTATCATAACTGATTAAATAGGTGTGCAGCCTGCCTACCATATGCGACACTCTGTGTTAGACGTGACTAATTAATTTGTAAACATTCTCACTAAATAGTAAGGCATTATGAAAATACATGGTATCATTATTATTGATTACAGGTTAAGTCACACAACAGGCAGCATATGAAGATTCTAAAATGGTATCAAGACAGCCACAATCAAATGAAAATCTTGATGCTTCCTATTTTGTCTTGATGAATTATAAACTGGGTCAGGTTATAAATAAAAGAATGGCTGATCTAGTAACACACTGACCAAAGAACCCAACTGAATGGATAGTAAGCTAACCTACTTTTTCATGCTCTGCCTAGAACTAAAGATGATTTTTTTAAAGATGACAGGAAATAGAATATCAATCTATCTATCCATCTATCTGTAGACAGAGGGGGAGAGAGAGACAGAGATAGGGAGGAGAGAAAAAGAGGGGGAAAGGGAAAGAAAGAGAGAGGGGAGGGAGGAGAGAGGGAGAGAAGGAGGGGGGGAGAGAGGAAGATGGGGAGAGAAATGGGGGGGGTAGATTTAAGAAATTGGCTTATGAGATTATAGAGGTTTGGTAAATCCAAAATCTGCAGGCTGGAGACTCAAGGAAGAGTTGCAGTTTAAGATCAAAGGCAGAATTTTTTCTTGGGGGAGGTCAGTCTTAGTTCCATTAAGGTCTTCAACTAATTGGATGAGACCCACTTACATTACAGAGGATAACCTGCTTTACCCAAAGTCCACTGATTTACATGCTAATCTCAATCAAATAACACTTTCACAGAAACATCCAGAATAATGTTTGACTGCTATCTAGGCACTGTAGCCTAGCCAAGTTGACATATAAAAATAAACATCGTTAAGTCCACTCTTGTTGACTTGGCATCCACACACATCTCTTTAAACCATAATTTCCAAATAAAAACAACAAACTCATACTTCTGCCCAACATTTTACAACTATCCTGCATACAAGTAAAACATACTAACCCTTTCCCCAGAAGAGGATGCTAAGTCTTTGGGTAACATTTATTCTTCTTCCTGATATCCCATAACTTAAATACTATGACATAAAGTTGTAAGTACTTAGTACTATGATATAAAATCAATACATTTTATGTAACATGATAAAAGGATCAGGTATTGAGGAAAACAAACATTTGTTTTACACACAGACACACATACAAAAATGTATTCATAATGAAATAAGAAAAAAAAAGCCATGACAATTCCAGTCCTCATTTCTATAATTAGTTACATGGCTGTAACTGGTGTTTGTAACTACCTTCTTCCACTATTTATTCTGTATTCTCTTTGCCCTCAGCAAGCACGTCAGCTGGCCATGACTCTTTACCTGGTGGGGTAAAGGGTCTGGGTCATCAGGAGTCCTCCCTGAACTGCGTAATACTAAGAGATGCCCTGAGGAATCTCCTGTATTTCAGACAGACTTTTCCTTACCTCCATTGTGAAGTAGGAGTCCAATTTCTCCCTTGGTAGTCAGGATCAGTCATTTCGGCCAGTGGTGGCTTTGCCTGTTGATTCAGTGGCATGAGGAGTCCGAAGTGGCCAGGCAGCCATCTTAACTTCCAGTTCGATGGAATCATTGTTGTGGTTCCTGGTGGAACCATTCTTTCCTTTGGAACTAAGATCTCTAGGCCAGCAGAACATAGGGTCATGGGGAGAGGGAGAACTTTTTTGCTAGAGGGCCACTGGGGTAACAGTGAGTGGTGACACTCTCATTTCCACCCCTGAACTCCTGGACCTGTGAATCTTCGGTATGGGAGAAAACAGCATCATCTACTGGATGCTGATTCAGAGCGTCTACAGCCTTCTGGAGAACCTTACCTCAGTCCTTCAAGGTAGTGCCAGCCGGCTGGCAATCTAAACCAGTCTTCTCCAGGCCATTCCACCATTCTATCAAACCAGCTGCTTTGGGAAGATGGAGAACATGGTCAGACCAGTGAATTCTATGAGCATGAGCCCATTGCCACATTTCATTTGCTCTGAAGTGATTTCCTTGATCAGAAGCAATGCTGTGCAGAATACCATGATGGTGAATAGGCTTTCTGTAAGTCTACTCATGGTAGTTTTGGTAAAAGCACTACATGCAGGGAAGGCAAATCCAAATCTTCTCTCTCAGTAAGAACAAAACACTGACCCATGATGGAAATACACTCTGCCTCTGGGTAGCTGGCCTACACCTTGAGGACTCCATGTTGGTCTCTGCTGCTGGCAAATTGGGCACTCACCAGTGTGTTTGCAGACAAGTTGGCCTTGGTGAGCCAAAGTCCATGTTGCTGAGCCCACTCTTCATCCCTGCCACTATGACCACTTGGTTTATGAGCTATCAGGGCATATAGGGGTAGTTGGGTATTCACAGAATAGGTCATCCTATCCATTTGATTATTAAAATCTTCCTTTGCTGAGGTTGCTCTTTGGAAAACATTTATGTGGTACACAAGTTTCTTCATGTTTTTGCCCATTTCCATGTACCTCGAGGGAATCATCAATTTTCCAATCATGTTCTTTCAAAGTCCCTGACCACCCAGCCAAACCATTGGCCACAGGCCATAAATCAGTATACAGTTGCACGTCAGGCCATTTCTCCTTGCAAGCAAAGTGAAGAAACAGGTGCACTGCTTGACATTCTGTTCACTGAGAGGATTTGCCTTCATCACTGTCCTTCAGGGGATGTCCTGGAGAGAAGCAGTTATTCACTTCGGGTGGTAACCACATATCATCTCTTCTTCTGTCAACTGATGATAGGGACTTCCTCATGAGGCCATAGGTGCAGGCTGAGGGAGAAAAGGTAGAACCAGTGGGGACCAGGGGCATTTGGGCCACTTCTTCATGTAAATTACTGGTGTCTTTAAGACTCTCTTGGGCCTGATCAGATATATACAATACATAATGCCAGCAATGTAAGGATCAAAATGATTTCTTATGGAAGGGAAAGGTGATCAAGATTCCTGTAAATTAAATTATGGCAGAGAGCTGCAGAGCTGATATACCCCTAAGGGAGGACAGTGAAAGTGTCTTGCTGGTCTTGCCAGCGGAAAGCAAACTGCTTCTGGTGGTCTTTATCAATAAGGATGGAGGAAAAAGCATTGGCCAGATCAACAGCCACATACCAGCACCAGTAAATGTGTTCATTTTCTCAAGCAATGAAACCACATCTGGTACAGCAGCTGCAATCAGAGTCACCAGTGCGTTAAGCTTATGACAATCCACTGTCATTCTACAAAATCCATCTGTCTTCTGCACGGCCCGATAGGCAAGTCGAACGGGAATATGGTGAGAATTACCACCTCTGCATCTTTCAAGTCTTTGACGGTGGCACTTGTCTCTGCAATCCCTCCAGGAGTGAGGTATTTCTTTTGGTCTACTATTTTTGTGGTTAGAGGCAGTTCTAGTGGCTTCCACTTGGCCTTTCTCACTCCACAGGTCAGGGAACCAGTGTGGGGATTCTGCCAGCTGCTGGGTATATCTATTTCAATTATGCCTTTTTTTGTTGTTTTTAAGAGAGAGAGAGCATGTGAGCAGGGTGGAGGGGAGGGGAAGAGCGAGACAGAGAGAGAGAATCTTAAGCAGGCTCCATGTCCAGCACAGAGCCCAATGCAGAGCTCCATCTCACCACCCTGAGACCATGAGCTGAGCTAAAATCAAGAGTCGGACACTTAACTGACTGAGTCACCCAGGTGCCCCTCAATTACGCCTTTTTGAACTGAGGAAATAACCACAGAATGGGTTCAGACATCTATTGAGCCCACTGTGAGATGGTTCTAACCTAAAACTCCATTGATCACCTGACCTCCATAAGCTCCTATTCTGACCAATGGACCACAGTGACATTTTGGGTTTCCTAGAATTAGTGTCAGTTCAGAGCCAGTGTCCAGTAATCCCCCAAAGCTCTCATTATTTTCTTTTTCCCCAATGTACAGTTACTCTGGTTAAAGATTGCAGGTCCTTTTGGGGATGGCTGGGAAAAAGATTAACAGAGTAAATTTTTAGCAATATTCAGGAGTGAATGAAGGGGACTTGGCTTCCCTTTCATTCTGGGTCTATAAACCAGCTCATATCTGGGGATTGATGAAGGGGTCCTAACTCTGTTTTTATGATTCAAGTAAATTTTGTTCAGTTGACCTAGAACTTTTCTGCTTATACAGATCAAGCAAGAATTTAGTAGGCTTCCCATATATTTTGCTTCTAGGGACACCATGATCAACCAGTCAATGCCCTAGCTCTCTACAAGTCAGACTATTCTGATTTCTGCTTTATCTTGCCGTCCATTATGGAACCGTGACCACCTTGACTTTGGCATTTGAGGGTCATCATTTGGCTCCTGCCATGCCAGGATCCTCATTGCATTTAGGTTTCCCAATTTAATGACAACTATAAGTTCTGACTATAAGTTCTGGCCTACAGAGAAGAACGATCACTGAGATCTTCAAGGATGCTGGGGCTCCCCTCACAAACTTATTTCGGTGGCCCAGCCAAATTGACACATAAAATGAACCATCACAATCACTATATTTTCTCCTAACATATTCACCATATGCAGGACTTCTCTCGCAAATTTTAATGAACAAAATCCTTGCTTGATAGCCTGGTAGTTGAACATAAAATACTTATTGGCAGGAAGGAAGTTTTAGTTATTTGGAATTATTTCTCTTGTCTGTTTTTCAGCCAAAGTATTCACTACTGGTAAACTCTTATCTCTAAACAGACTCAGCTTAAGTAACAACAATGAAAAATCATGCACGGTATAATACAGGCACAGTGAGAAGAACACTGGGGTAGGAATTAGCAGCAGAATAGATTTTATTTCTAGATTTTCTAACTGGTCACATAACTTGGAATCTTGAATCCTGGCAGTTCTAGGACTCAATTTTTTCTTCTGTTAAATAATATCCTATCTACTTCACAGAGACGTTTTAATAATCAAATAAAGTAATAAACAAGAGAGATTATTACTCCAAGTGTCTTCTGACCAGAACAGAATATTTCCCTTGTTCTGTATGTTACATGCTATACTCTTAATGCTACTTTGACCCCAAGTCCAAATACCTCTGCTTCTTTAATAATAGATATTGTGGATACATCTTGTCACCCTAATTAGATAGTAAAAACACTTGGCTCAGATGTATTGTACACTGTATTATTCTTTACATGCTAACTAGCACAGTACTATGCCATGAAAAGTGTCTTGATAAATATTGCTAAATCAATGAATGAATGACTCAGAACTAAAGGCCTAAAATTGACAAGGCAAGAAACAACAAATGTTGGAGAGGTTCTGGAGAAAGGGGAACCCTCTTACACTGTTGGTGGGAATGCAAGTTGGTACAGACACTTTGGAAAACAGTGTGGAGGTGCCTCAAAAATTTAAAAATAGAGCTACCCTATGACCCAGCAATTGCACTCCTGGGTATTTACCCCAAAGACACAGATGTAGTGAAAAGAAGGGCCATATGCACCCCAATGTTCATAGCAGCAATGTCCGCAATAGCCAAACCGTGGAAAGAGCCGAGATGCCCTTCAACAGATGAACGGATAAAGAAGATGTGGTCCATATATAGAATGGAATATTACTCAGCCATCAGAAGAGATGAATACCCAACTTTTACATCAACATGGGATGGGACTGGAGGAGATTATGCTAAGTGAAATAAGTCAAGCAGAGAAAGTCAATTATCATATAAGGAATAGCATGGAGGACATTAGGAGAAGGAAGGGAAAAATGAAGGGGGAAGATCGGAGGGAGAGATGAACCATGAGAGACTATGGACTCTGAGAAACAAACTGAGGGTTTTAGAGGGGAGGGGGTGGGGTGACGGGTTAGCCTGGTGATGGGTATTAAGGAGGGCACGTACTGCATGGAGCACTGCGTGTAATATGAAAACAATGAATCATGGATCACTACATCAAAAACTGATGATGTATTGTATGGTGACTAACATAATAAAATAAAATTAAATTAAAAATACATAAAATCTTAAAAAAAAAAAGAAGTCAGGGGGTGGTTCACAAAGCCTTGTGGGTATTTGAATCATCTGGATAGTTTGCTAAAATGGCCCTTTTACCACACCTCATTTTCTGAGATCCTGATTGAGGAAGTCAGAGGCAGGGCCCAAGTAGAAGCATTTTAATGACTAGTCCATGGTTTCAGATATCAGTGGGAAGGGAGATGCGGGTATAGGGAATTGAACTGAGTGTGTTCTGATTCCAGATCATATTTTGTACCTTAGCCTGTATCTTTAATGTAAGCCTATGTTGTCCCTCTGATTCATTTTTTCCTCTTAAAACACTACATAAAATAACCTGCTGACTTGAGAATTCTCATTTCTAATAATAGTAGGATGTGGTGAACACAGGATGTTGCAGGGCGTGGCTGCCGTCCAGCCAGAGCCTTCATCTGAACTTAGTCTGAACTTAGTCTGACCTCCTGCTTGCACTAGTTTTGATCCAGAGACTTTCTACACATTTACTACCAGCATCTGAGTTCACAGGTGTAACCCATAATGACACATGTACTGAAAGAGGTGGAATGGGGACACATCTTTTCAAATAAATAACTAAAGCTTTAAAACGTTATTTTCTCCTGTGTTCCTGCTTCAACTAAAAGTTGAAACAAATAGCTATGTAAAGGATTGTTAAAAATATCGTTCAAATATATGCACAGATAGAATAGCATACCGATGATAAATAAACATATTCCATTACCCCAGCGTGAGAAAGGTTATATCAAGGTGTCCTAATTTCCTAATAAGATATAGTCACTCATATTGATTGAAAGACTTATTCAGACTCATTCAAGTAGAGTTTAGAAATAAGGTTGGAGATTTCTATTTCCCAGTCCATACAACCATATCTCAACCTGTTATTCAACCAGGGAAACCACATGGAAAAAAAATGGTTGGAATGTGTAAAAGTCTTTGATAGCAAGGCCTGATTAAAAGGAGATTAATTTGGGCACCTGGGTGGCTCAGCCGGTTAAGCATCTGCCTTTGGCTTGGGTCGTAATCGTGGAGTCCTGGGATTGAGTCCCGCATCGAGCTCCCTGCTCTGTGGGGAGCCTGCTTCTCCCTCTCCCCCGCTCCCCTCTCTCTCTGTCTCTCATGAATACATAAATAAAATCTTAAAAAAACTGAATCCACCAAAAAGACAACTGATTCATAGAATAACACTGAGAAATTGCTGCAAAACCATAGCAC